AGTATTTCTGTCCTGAAGCTGGTGACAGTTTAGTTACGAAAATGTAACACCTGATTCTTTTCTCTGGGGCTTATGTTTGAGAAGTGAGAATGAGTGGCCTAGAGGGGGTAGCCCAGATTGGAGTGTAGGGACACCAAAGTGGCACCCTGCCAAACAAACCAAATATGAGGGAGTTTATTTTTGACATTTTACTTTGCAAAAAATTCACTTACCAAAAAAATGCATTTTTTAAAAATGGTATACCTCCACCTGATTTACTAATTACTAAAAATATGCCACACTTGATTTCTCTATCTATACAACTGTTAATTTATTATTATTATTATTATTATTATTATTATTATTATTATTATTTCTCATTACTCGTGAATCATTCTGGAGCAAGTTGTGGAAATTATAACTCTTTAATTCTACATACTTTGGCATGTATCTCCTAAGAACACAACGTTCTTCTATATTATCACAGTATTTCATATTCAGGAAATTTAACACTGATACAATACTATTACCTAATAGAGAGTTAGTATTCAAATTTTGCCAACTGTCTCAATAGTGTCCTTTATGGCAATTATTTTTCTGAGCTAGCGCCTGACCCAGAACCATGTGTAGCACTTGGACGCCATGTCTTTTCTCTGGAAGAATTCCTTGGCTTTTTTTTTACCCTGGCATTTTGAGAAGCACAGGCCAGTTGTTTTATAGAACGTCCCTCAGTTTGGGTTTGTCTGATATGTCCTCATGATTGGATTCAGATTATGATTTTTGGCTACATAAGTGTCCTTGTCACATCACCTCAATTTGTCCTGTTACTTTGATCACTGGGTTAAGGTGGGGGCCTGCCCAGTTTCTGTACTACAAAATGACCAGTTTTTCTTTTATAATAGTATATAATCTGTGGGCAGTACTTTGAGATTGTGCAAATTTCCTGTGAAGCTTTTACCCAACAAGTTTTGTGTTTGTACTGGTTTGCTAGGACTGCTGTAACGAAGTACCACCAACTGGGTGGTTTACAGCACAGAAATTTATTGTGTCACAGTCTGGAGGCTGGAAGTCTAAGACTCAAGTGTCAGCAGTTCTGGTTCCTCCTGTGGGCTGTGGGGGAGAATGGTCTCCAGGCCTCTCCCCAGCTTCCAGTGCTTTGCTGGCAATCCTTGATGTTCTTTGGCTTGTAGATGCATCACCCCATCTCTGCCTTCATGTTCATAAGGTCTTCTCCCTGTGTCTTTCTATCTTTGTGTCCAAATTTCCCCATTTTATAAGAGCAAAGTCATAGAGAATTAGGGTCCACCCTAATGACCCCATTTTTAACTGGATCATCTGCAATGACCGTACTTCCAAATAAGGTCACATTCACAGGTACTGGTGGTTAGCACTCCAAAACTTTTTTTGTTTGTTTTTTGGAGGGGAGGTACACAATTCAGCCCACCATAGCATGCACTTGATGATACATGCTGAGATCAATTATTACTAAGATGGTAGCAGAATGGTGGTTTTTCTCACTATCATTCTTTCAGCAATTATTAGTTGGTGTTTGGGAGAAGGTTGTTTTTTATAATTAATAAACAGAGAATATACATCCATCAATGGCTGGCTAGAAATCGTGCATATCTTTAAAACAAAAAAATAAAAACAAGTAACATACACACAATCTGTGCCTGGAGAAGTGAGCAGAAAAGGACTGGCTCTTATTGTCAACATCCTGGTCCAGCCAGGACGGCTAGAAGGGGAGCCGGGGGCAGCCTGTGGACCAAGGTCACAGGACTGGGTAAAATCGGAGAGTGCAGGTTTTCAAGCTCTCCTAAACATTTCCTGTGTGTAAGCTACTCCTTCGAATGTCATTACTCGTGGATTTTTTTCACACTCTAAGGCAAAAGTTTCATGGCACTATCCAAGGATATGTACCAGGTTCCCCGATTCAGCATTCTGGTCCTCTCCAGTAATTTATGGGTGAGCAGACATTTCCCAGCACTGAGGCCTCTGTCATCATCAGAGTCACAGTTAAGCAGGGACCAAAAACTATAATTCTGAAGCTACTGAGAAACATGACTGGGGCCAAAATAAAATGTCAGAGTTCTTTTATTTCTTTGTGTTCATTCTTAAACCTGACAAAATATCTTTGGAATTTTCTTCTCAAATCTATATTCCATCCACAGTAAACATAGAATAGTTTGTGTCCAAACACTATTGATCTCAAATGTACAATAATGCCATTAAATCTCAGTGGTTCTTCCTTCTTGGGTGCTGTATAGGCTTGCTAGGAATGTAACAAAGTACTGCAGACTGGGTGGCTTAAACCACAGGAGTTTATTGGCTCACAGTTCTGGAAGTTAGAAGTCCAAAATCAAGGTGTCAGCAGGGCTGCTTCCTCCTGAGGATGGTGAGAAGGGGATCTTTTCCAGGCCTCTTTCCTTGGCTTGTAGGTGAATGTCTCCTTCCTATGTCTCTTCACATTGTCTCCCTTTATTTATAGCTCTATGTCCAAATTTCCCCGTTTTTGTAAGAACAACATATATTGGATTGGGGCACCCTAATGACCTCATTTCAAACTTCCTTACTTCTACAAAGGCTATATTTCCATATAAGGTCACATTCTGAGTACTGAGGGTTAGGACTTCAGCATATGAATTTTGGGGGACATAATTCAACTTATAACAGATGCATTTCAGTGATCCATAGACTTTCCCAGGGCTCATGTAGGCAGAACAGGAAAACAAGGTTGTGACTGCATGAACCTAGATGTTAATTAGGAAACCAAAATGGTACTGAATCTCTCTCCCTGCCCTTTCCCCAGGAGCACAGTCAGTGCTGAACCTGAAAATACTCAAGATGGCATTACTGAGCTTCTCCCAGCCATCCATCCATAGGGCTGTGGATTTTACATTTACCTGTATTTGGGAAGACTTTTTTTCTCTCTGGCACTAGAGATTTTTAAATGGATTTGGGTTGCTACTCACCATCCGTGTGGGTGCCACATGGGTCTGTCAATTAGTCAAGAGCAGAGGTTACCAGCAGCTGAATTAGTGACAATATCTATTTCTTGCAGAAACAAGTAGACCATTGGGAAAAGTGTTTTTATCTCCTGGTGAACTGTTTGCATGCATTTATCTGACGTCCGGGCAAATGAATTCTAAAGAACATATTTAGGATGTTGGCAGTAAGGCACGCCTATATCTCCCAACTAGAGAGGGACCCGAAGTCAGTTGAGATGCTTCATAAGTTTTCAATTCAAAGGATGGGAGGGCACAAAAGATGGAAGCAAACAGCCAATTACCTGAGAGCTCTCTGCCATAAGCTAGAGGAAGACTGAGGGAGAAGGAAGCTCAGGTTTCCAAGGCAGTAAATCCTGTCTCTCTCTTAAAATGGACAAAGAGTTTGCTAGCCCTATCACAGATTCTCTAACCTTCCTTCACCTGTGTTGTGTCCTTCTGTAGAAACGGGCAAGGCTTGAGGAGAGTATTCACTGTCTTTCCTTGCTTCCTTGATCAGGTCACAGACATAAAAGAGAAACTGAAGCTCTCTAAAAAGGTCTGGTCAGCGTTGCCCTACACCATCTGTAAGGATGAGAGCGTGACAGCGGGCACATCCAATGAAGAGGAATGCTGGAACGGACACAGCAAAGCCAGGTGAGGGGCGACTTGCTGTTCGCATGGTCAGGGCTTTGCACATCTAGCCCTGGAAGGCTCTCCTGGCACAACTCTGCAGTCCTGTTTATGCAAAAAGCAATGGAGGGTGGAGGGACAAGTCGTCACTTAGCGACAGCTGTTCAGAATGACAGGTTTGATGGGCACCTGGGAGCACTTACTCTCAAGGTGCCATTAAGCGTGGAATCCTTGTTCTGGATGCCTCTCCTCAGGATAAGGATGAAGGGATGGTGACAGATGCCAGGTTACTGATATCCTGAGATCACAAAGAGCCTTTTATGTTCACTTAATGACTTTAAGATAGCTGAGCTATTTTTATTGGGAGTTCAATTTGCAAGGCTTACTGTTTTCTTTCCATCACAAGTTAAACAGGAAGTAAAAAATTCAACTGCAATTTTTTTTACTTTTGGAGAAAAAAATGTTTTGAAGTGCTCACTGGAAGGGTAAGGGAAAAACAAAGTGACTGAGGGACAACTGGGAAAGCGGTCTCATCTGTGCTGTGCTGGAAAATCCCATTGGAATTTCCTGATGAGAGATGGTTCTGTTTTCATCCTGCCACTCTGCTGCCCAGTGCTACTGCCACTTGATACGGAATTTCTTAATTTTTTGATTCAGCCCCTAAATGGGCTTGGCCTGAGTTTTCATAGGGTGGAGAAGTTGGATGGGGAAACTGGCGGGGAGTTGGCAAGCCGGACAGAACACCAGGAGAGGAGTCTGCCAGAACCTTCCCCAGTGGGGATGCTGGTGGGTAGAGCAGCTGGTAAATTGGCCTCAAGGAATCTTTTGGGGATTGACCAGCAGGTGGAGAAGCTAAGGGGAGGGGAGCTTGGTTCTGGGGCCTTATTGGCTGGTTCCAAGCATATAAAGAAGCTGTGATCAAAAGACAAAAAGATACCTGGATGTTAAGTTCAGAAGAAACTGCAGAAGGTAAGCAGGGGTGCATGTGAGGTGCTCATTAGGTGTTATTTCTTACACTGCTGAGTTGCATTTCTTAGCATCCATTGGTAATGATATTATTTGCCATGCTAGGGAAAGCTTAGCAAGGTGAAAATGAGACAGCTATAGAAAAAGCTGTAATATTTTAAGTTGCCCCAAAATATCCACATCTTAGATCATGAGAGAGAAAGATATTCACGATATCAGCAACATTCCCCTCAAAAACGCCTTGTATTAACAGTTTACCACTGTCTGGCCTTTTAGAAAGGAGACCTTTGGCCAGCGAATTCAGCTGTGATTTAACAGCTTCTAATGTGTCCTTTCCTAATGACTGTACAGAAAGACACTGCAAAGGGTGACCAGATGGCCTAATGAATAAAGTGGTTGGTTTTTTGAGCTGCTCTGTTGCCCATCTGTGTTTACCTTTCAGGCTTGACTAAAATGAAAGCTGTGTTTTTGTTGTTGTTGTTGTTGTTGCTTGTTTATTTGTTTGTTTTTGGTTTTTTTATTAGCTTCAGGTGTGTATGAAGGCTGTGTTTTGAACTACATTCCCATAGATGCTTACACAGGTTGCTGGATATTGGCGTACATGCAATTTCTTACAAAAGGAAATACAAAGAATTGTTGCAGGCAGGAATAGGGGAGGGGACCACACTCCATCCAGAAAATAAATGGGGAAGATAAAGACCATTGAAGTTAAAGCTAGAGGTGACTGGGTTGGTTCAGACAAATTCCTCAGTGTACAAATCAGGAGTGCAAACAGGGTAAACAATTAGTCCCAGGTTACCCAACTAACAAGGGTGAAAGCTGAAATCCCCCAAATCCTAGTCCAATATTCTTTTCACTCAGTAGCCTACCTGTAAAACAAATGGCAGCTAAATACTGCCCTCCCCAAGTCAGGAGAACAAACGAAACAGATCCTTAGTTCTCTGTAAAACGATTTAGTGGATCTGCATTTGTTCACTCAGTCTGTCAGCCCATCAGCAATATTTTTAAGCACTCCTGTCCAGACGTTGTGCAAGGCTCTGTGAATTAAGTGCTATAACACAGCAATGTTGCCTGTCAACACATGAAAAGCTGCAGTGGCTGGAGAGAAGATAGTGGATTTTGGAATTCCACGTACCATACTGCTGGACCGTAGGTTTGGGAAAGGATCACATAGGTGGAGAAGCACCTGGATCAGTCAGTACTCAGGGACCAGATTTGAATGTTATCCTGAAGTCCATGGGAAGCCATTGGAGGATTTTATGCAGGTGAGGGGAAATCATCAAATTTAATGCAACAAAGTAATTTGCAGGATCATTCCAGAATTTAACCCACGGTATTATTAAAAAGATGAAGCTGTCAAATATTTGTGACTCAAATTATATTCCCACTGAAAAATTAAAATTTCATGGCTTCTTTAGTTCTTTTTTTTTTTTATTCATCCCCTGGAATGGAATGTTAATACTGTACCTTTATATTTAATAGCATAATATGTAGATAGAAAATAAACACTTGTTGAATTAAATTTAATTGAAAGTTTCTTCTCATTCAAATATTAATTGATCTATAAGCACCTAGAGAAGTTTTTCATTTAAAGAAATTTCACTGAACTATTTTGTAAGTTGAAAAATCCCATTGGTAATGCAGATAATAACTTATTTCTTTCCTACTTTCGAAGTATGCATTTTCAGATGCTAGGCCTATCTTAAATGGTTAGGAATGTTTAGGGGGAAAAAAAAGACAGAAAGGTTATTCCTATCATCCATGTGAAATAAATAAATCAGAACTTTGTTTTTAATCTATCAACAGGCGTGAATGGATATGGAACAGAGATGCTCGTTAGCATTGATAGAGAGCTTCACAGTCTGGAGTTTTTACACTCAAGCCTGTGGGATGAGACATGTCTTCCTCTCTTTATGTTTTATCCAGCAGATGCCTCCTTCACTACACTCTTAGGTTCACATCCACTCCTGCAACCCAGTTATCAATCTAAGTATCTCATTAGTCTTATCTTCATCATATTTCTCCTGATTATTTTCTGAATGCTACTCCATGACTCTTGATCATACTTCCTTGATTCAGAAACATACCTATTTTACATTTGAACATTTCTGAAATCAAAATGACTATTATAATATATATGTCCATTTACCCCAACAATTATTTTATTTTCCCAAATAACTGTTATTAAATGAATGGTACCTGTTGAAATTAATGACTTGAAACACAGAGAACAGATTGGCTGCTATGGCGGCCACAGGGTAAAACCTGCTGTGTAGAGATCATGGTCAAGGGTGTGTGAGCTGTGGCTCCCTAAAACATGAACCCACATTTGTCCCTCTGCCCCCACCCTCACCCATTCCTGGCTGATCTCACTCTGCTGTAATAGCTAAATAGGTGTGGAAACAGGAGATGGAGCACAAGGAGGAGACTGCCCTGCGATGGGAGGAAACTGCGACGTGCCATGACCCTGTCTACATTTCAATCTCCATTCTGACAGCACCAGGTCACCCAGAGGACCCTTTCCTTGCTTCCCCTTTTCCTTTTCAACTTCTTGGGACAATTTGAAAACCAAGGAAATAAAGTCAATGAAAATAGGTCGTAAATTCTAAAACAGTGCTTATCAAATGCTAACATGCAGGCTAACTTCTTGAGCACCTTGTTAAAAATGCATATTCTGATGCAATAAGTCTGGGGTGGGGCCCAAGAGTCTATCAAGCTTCCAGGAATGCAGCTGTTGCTGGTCAAGGACCACACTTTGAATAGCAAGGCTCTAAGGCAGAACTTTCCAGAGTTAGCACATGAAACACCAGACACCAAATGGAGCACACTTATCTTACAAAAAAAGGATTTATTGTTTATCTAAAATTCAGGTTCAGCTGGTAGTCCCTATTTTATCTGGCAGTCCTACTTTAAGCTCCTATTAACATGTAAGATATTCCCCCTTTTCATTCAGGGAGCATATTACGATTTGTCATTTTCTCTTTGTCTTCATGGATACCTTTGACGTTCTTTTTAACAGAGCTTCCCTCATGTTAAAAACAACAATAGCGATTGACCCAGGGAGGTCATGTGGTTTAGTTGTAATGTCACCCACTAAGGAGAGTTGAAGCACTGGCCAGGTTGAAGTCATCTGACAATGAATTGCTTAGGCTTCACCCATGCATCAAGCTCTCGTTTAAATTGGAAATACAGCACAGCCTTCACAATTGCAAGACAAGCCTCTTTTGTCCACCCAAACCTCTGGTCACAAATGGATGCCCTTGTGGGCCATGGAAGGATATTTGGAATCCCTGGTTAGTACTTGATTCAATTAGTGGCTTAGTCAGCTCATTGATGCTATAACAAAAATACTATAGACTGGGAAGCTAAAACAGATATTTCTCACAGTCTGGAGACAAAAAATCCAAAATCAGGGTGCCAGCAGCATTGGTTTCTGGGGAGATCACTCTTTCTGGCTTGCGGACAGCCACTTTCTTGCTGCGCCCTTACCTGGTGGGGAGCTGGGGGGGAGGGTGCTCTGATCTCTTCTTTTTCATATAAGAACATTAATCCTATCATGGGGGCTTTACCCTCATAACCTTATCTAAACCCAGTGACTTCCCATAGGCCCCACCTCCAAATATCATCACATTGGGGGGTAGGGATTCAACATGTAGACCTTGGGGGGACACAAACATTCAGTCCATTGTAATTAGGACAAAGAACCACATCCTACGTTACCAGAATAGCCGATAAAAGTATTTTCCTCAGAATTCATAGCAGTGATTTTCACCCAAGAAAGGCAGCTCAGGATGCATCTTCAGTGACCAGCCAGAAAGTGAGTTTGCACGTGTAACTTACACTCCCCCCATTTCCCACATAGCTAAGCAACTTTTTTAGGATGAAACAGGAGAAACCACAGCAACACTCTGACTCAACTCAGACAAATAGGAATTGAAAGGAAGCTGGTCAGTGTGGAAAATCGATAATCATCTAGAAGGCCAAAGAGAAAAATAAAATTAAGGAGTTATGCTGCAGGTTACAAATCTAGGCTTCCTAAAGTTCCCGGGGCGAACCTG